TTCCAAAATTTTATGAATCAATAACTGTGAATACCTTAATTGTGTCAGCAATTTAATTTAAATTCTTAAACGAGAGGATACCTATTTGAAATCGTTATCGAAATCTGAAAATTTGTAATAAGGAAAATATATATATTTTCAAGATTTTGAAGCATAAACATTTGAGATTTAATGCTATTTTCACTTATTTAACACTTAAAACCTCATTATGATTCGCTATTATTTCATAATTTCTTAAACAACAACAAAAACAACAAAAGTACAAAAAAGTGGCCCCAAGTAGGACCTGAACCAAGGCCCCAGGTAAACTCAGAACACAGAAGGACAGTGAAAAAACTGAAATATAACTCCATCTTATTTTCTCTTCATGTAGATGTAAACTGTTATCTGTACTTGCATTTTATGAACTTTTATAGAAATGGTGATTGGCATTTTTTGAGACCCGTACTTAAAATATTTTTGTGAAAGGTCACATTTGTATTTCATCAACAATAGCAAACAACCAAAGAACAAATGTATATAGAAAAACGATTATCAGCACTTGCTACATTTTATATTAACAAAATTGCTTATCATTTCAACTTATAATGGCTGTCAAAGTCCACTATAATCCAGTATCAACAAAGTTGTGCTTGTACAAATAACGCTTACATTTGAACAATATCGAATTAAATCACATAAAATTGGTGAAAGCACATCGAGAGGCAGACTTAAGACCTGGGTAATATCTGCAAAATGACCAGAAGAGTCTCTATGGAAAAAGACAAATTCATGTATTAGAAATACACTTATTGGAAAAATATTTTTAATCAATTGCCTATCCTTTTACGCACATAGTGGCTTTACATTCATTATGTTCGAAAATATGCCGATCCATTAGTTTCATCTTTCAATTTGGATTTGTTCGATTGAAGTTCGGTTGGGAAATAAATGGCCCAGGATTTGGACACCTGACTTGGCTCCAAGGCAAGTCTAAGACTCATGATTAGGGTATCTGGCCTTTAGAACAGCATTATCATAGTTACGGTTTGAGAATAGAACATCTGATTTATATTACATAATGCTCTTATTGATAACGCTGAATCAAGACATCTGACCTATAGAAAAGCAGGATCATATTGTTGAAGCAGGATTAGTTATAGCTATACATTACAAGTTTTGGTCATGATTGTCAAATATTTGTTTCAATCATGGCCCATGGTCATTAATGGTCCTATCATGGTAGTGAAAAGATTTATTAAGTAAACATTGCATATGATTTAAAATGTTCTGATGACATCACAGTCTAAATTATACCATTTGAAATTGATGAAAATGATGTTACTAACTTAGATTTATGTTTATTGAAGACAATAAAACGATTTATGTAAATCCGACGGTATTCAAAAGGAGTTAACACGGTCTTAATAAGATCGGTTGATAATTAAAGACGATACCAAATTCCTAATAAGATTGGTTGGTCTTCAAGGAAAGACCCACAGTCTTTATAATTGAAAGACGATAGTATTGTCTTAATTAGATCGGCTGATACTCGAAGAAAATATCACAGACTTATATTGGTTTAAATTGAACGACGATATCATTACATTGGTTGATATTTGAAATTGATTTCACAGTATTGATAAGATTTGTTGATATTTTAAGATAATATCACAGATTTTATCGTATCGGTTAATATTTCAGGTTGAGATCAAAGTCTGAATTAGATAAGTTTTAAATTTAAAGAAAGTACGACTTATCAATAAGATGGTCTGATACTAGTACATGTAGTGCTTGAAGATTATATCTCAGTTTGAATAAGATTGTTTGATAGTTAAAGAAAATATCACAGTCTTAATTAAATTGATAAATAGTCACATAAATATCACAGTCTTAATAAGGTCGGCTGATATAAACGAAGCCGTCATCACAGTCAGGTAATATTTCAGGATGCAATTACAGTCTTTATAAGATTACTAGTAGTTTAAATTTAAAGAAATTATGACCGTCTTAATTTGATCGTTTGATATTTGTAGATGACATCACATCGGAGCAAACTATAACACACAAAAAAACGTTCATTGTAAGCTACCTCTTTTATTTGCCGGAGGCAACACACAGAGATATTTGTATAATATTTTTTATGAAATAATTTTATCTCGTTTGTAGTCTTCTTCTGCTGGTAAATAGACGCTATTGGAAAAGGAAATTTTTCAAATGGTATACATACAATACTTCTTGCTGATTATCTTTCTTACATGTATATAGATGAAAATTAGTAAAATCATTTATTGCATTGCTTCGCCTGTAATATCTAGGTAGTTGAAGCCTGACGCCTTGGATAATAAATTAATGAATGTAGAATTTTCAGTGATCAACTTAAATCCGCTATCTCATTGTCTTTTTATAAACTACGTTGGCATTTTGCAGAAGAAATATGTGCTATCTGCTGTAAATTATTATCAACGACATCTAAATTAGCGGGCTATTGCAATCCCTAGTCTGTCAAATAACATGTTTTTCAACAGCTTTATTTTGTAGAAGTTATACATTATCGTTATCATTTCCCACACAACAATCAAACAAATACATAGACAATATATTTTTTTCTAGACTTTTAATGAAGAAGCATACAATATACATTTGATTTACAGTTTTCACACAATCCTTGTACACCATGAACGACGGAAGTATATATTTGTCAATACATTTGATATAGAACCATAAAATATATAATTGCTTTACAGTTTTTACATACTAACCAAATACTATGAAAGTATATGTTTGTCAATACATGTGATATAGAACCATACAAAACACAAGTGTTTTAAAGTTTTCACATACTAACAATAGACGTTGAAAGTATATATTTTTCTATGCATATAATGTAGAACCATACAAAACACAATTGTTTTAAAATTTTCACATACTAACTATAGACGTTGAAAGCATATATCTTTCTATGCATGTAATGTAGAACCATATAAACACAATTGTTTTAAAATTTTCACATACTAATAATAGACGATGAAGGTATATACTTTTCTATGCATTTAATGTAGAACCATACACACCACAATTGTTTTAAAGTTTTCACATACTTACAATAGACGTTGAAAGTATATATTTTTCTATGCATATAATGTAGAACCATACAAAACACAAGTGTTTGAATGTTTTCGCATACTAACAATAGACGTTGAAAGTATATATTTTTCAATGCATATAATGTAGAACCATACAAAACACAATTGTTTTAAAATTTTCACATACTAACAATAGACGATGAAGGTATATACTTTTCTATGACCATACTATATTCAATTATTTTACAATTCGCACACAACAATTATTCATTAAAAAGTGTATAATTGTCTATATAGATGCGTTTAATGTAGAACCATACATTATATATTTTTTTTTAATTCTTACACACTAATAGTTTACTATGAAAGTATATATTTGTCTACAAGTATGCGTTAAATGTAGAACCATACAATATACAATTGTCTTTTTTTTAAATTTAAACACAACAATAATTTACTAAAAAGTGTATATTTGTCTATATAGATGCGTTTAATGTACAACCATGCATTATAATTTTTTTTTTTTAATTCTTACACACTAATAGTTTACTATGAAAGTATATATTTGTCTACAAGTATGCGTTAAATGTAGAACCATACAATATACAATTCTTATAAACAATCATTTACTACTATAAACGTTTATATTTTTCTATTCGTTTAATGTAGAACCATACAATATGCTTTTATTTTACAATTTTTCACACATCAATCGTTTACTATGAACGTTTATATTTTTCTATTCGTTTAATGTAGAACCACACAATATGCTTTTATTTTACAATTTTTCACACATCAATCGTTTACTATAAACGTTTATATTTTTCTATTCGTTTAATGTAGAACCACACAATATGCTTTTATTTTACAATTTTTCACACATCAATCGTTTACTATGAACGTTTATATTTTTTATGCATTTAATGTACAATATGCTATTATTTTACATTTTTCACACAAAAATCGTCTGTCTAATAGTATGCAGGTAATGTAGACACATACAATATACAAATGTTTTACAATTCTCATAAACAATCATTTACTATGAACGTTTATATTTTTCTATGCGTTTAATGTATAATGTGCTATTACGTATTTTACATTTTCCACACTAAAACCATTCACTGTATAAGTACATATACTCGTATATAGTTGTTTAGACATTTACAACATAACCATACATTATACATTGTTTTACATACATATAAATATTTGTTTTTGCGTTTTATGTAAAAACCATACAAAATACAATAAAAATATGTGAAAAATTTATAACAATATATATGTAATTGACTGATATTGAATGATAATGTATAATATCTAAACTGCTTGTATCAGTGATTGGACTACTATTTGTCAAATGTCTTATGCCAACTAAAATACGACATAAAATCTGGCAGAATGATAAAATAACTGTTTTTTCCTTAATTTCAAACCTTATTTTTTTCTAATTTCCGACACTAGCCATATACGGTATAGTAGACCATAGACTAAAATACTAGATGTATAATCGTTGGTGGACTAACACCTTTTGGTCAACTGAACAGTTAATTTATATCCACTATGGAAGTGAAAAATATCACGTTGTTTGAAACAATCGTGATACATGTAGTTTAGATACAAGGCGTGTTAGGTATATTTTTCACTAGTGATATTTAAAGCGTATCTTCAGTGATATGCAGGTTTATTAGGATGACAAAACTTGCACTTTAAGAATTAATTGATTTCAATTCATTTAATCATAATGGTAAATTTATATGATTATATCTCAAACAGAAATGTGTTTTTTTTAATTTTATAGAAAACAATCAAGTTACGCTATGAATAACTTGCTTATGGATTAGTACAAAACATTGACATAACAAGGATGGACACCTGCCCACCATAACTTTGTTTTCGATGTTGGTTTTAAATTAAAGTATGGCCTGCAAAAAATGAAACACATTTTTTCGCTTTAATTCAAAATGTTATGACAGTATTTCAGACATTTTTTATTTTGAAAATTTATTCGGGACCAGTTAGCATTGTGAAGGTGATTTTATCAAAGAAAATATAATTTTCAAACCTTTTCCGTATTGTCTGCAAGTATGTCGCTGAAAAGGACTGCCGTTCCTTGAATTAGACCTCTCTTATTACGCATGGAAATTTAAAACTGTAGCAGGTTTTGTAAGGTATCTTATCTTTAAGTCATATAAACCACAGTACTCTTTAAATTGCTGCGTTGCATAGAAACAAACGTTTTACTGATTTGATGTCATTACATAGATGCATTATCGTTTAAAATAGACTGTACAGGACGACTATGATAAACGTACGGAAAACTACTAGACTTCGAAAAGTGCACGGAAATCAGAACACGTCCCTCGTAAACAAAACGTTTTTAAAAAAGATAAAAATCCCACAATGACAAAAGACAAAAAAATGGTGTAAACTAAAATAGAATACCAGTATGACAATGCCTCCAGCTTTTCTTTGAACATCATTTTGATTTTAACAAGCCCTAACAAACACACAGACAGTAATTATATAAAAATAATAAAAATAATAAAACAACAACAACAATGAAACGATATGTTTGTCATTTTTGTGTTTTTATGTGATTATCTGCTAATAAATGGTTCAATATTGTCAAGTAATAAACATATTTCAACTGATAATGATTTAAAGAAATTACATGGTGTCAAAAGACAATATACTGTGAGAAAAGGCAATATACTGTGAGGTGATTTAATGTTGTTTCGCGATAATATGTTGTCTAGTGATACTATACTGTCACGTGATAATATGCTGTCACGTGATTCTTAGTCACCAATCTTATAACTGATTATGCCAATGTTTTACAGCAGATGTCAGTTATAGATAAGACTTCTACACACACACCATGTTTGATGAAAAATGTAACTGCTAATTATAAAAATGTTGTTTTAGGACGATCATGTAACTCTTAGAATTGATGAGCTCTTCTTTTGATTATTTATCTTCTTTTCTTCTTATCATCATCGATGACATCTTCAATGCATGCTTGCCATCAAACCCATGATGCGTGTGTCCACAATTATACAGTTTGTCGGAATTAGGTAAAGTACATATTGTGCCTGGGGTCACATATAATCCATTGAGGTTGACAGCAGAACATGCGTAATGCCACCAGGCTCCATGTTTATCTACAGCACAGTTCTTATTTGATGCCATGTCGAGATCACGGTCGTAAGTTGAAAATGGCCTTTGATTGTTATTATTAAAATTATGTGAAGGATCTGTATAGGAATAAAAAGATATTAATTAGTTTTGACACTGTAATTGTCAGTTTGCATATTGGCGAACCTAAATTTTATAAACAACGACTTACTGTCTTCAGTATGATACAAAACACCCCATCAGAACAATATAATACTTATGACAGCGTTCTACATTCAAATGTAGAACGTTGTCATAAGTATTATATTGTTCTGCTTTCTTCACAAATGCATTTAATGTATCAAATGATATGTATTCACAAACACTCAAAAGACGATCTCTGAACTGTCGATAGAAAAATTTAATATTTCATATCAGGCATAATAGAAAAACATTAAGTTTCAGTCATGTTTTGGTTCTGCTACTTACAAGTTATATAAGCTATATTTATCTGTTCATTATACTATTCTTTTGTTATTGTAATAATATCTCATATACTGGTGTTTATGCTGCTGTGCTTTCATTTAGCTAAGTAGATAAAAAGTAAATGAACAAAATAAAATAGAAAAGAAGACAAAAACGGTTATATCAACATAAATATTTTACATTTCATTCCAACACGTGTGCATGCCCCAATGTTTAGTTTATATTTTGTTCCTTCTGTTAACTTAAAGTCTGGACAAGTTTCACGTTCTGTTGTACTATCACTTCTTGTTATGTCAAGACGAATCTCTGTAGAACCTTGTTCAGCTAGTTCTTGTATATATTTTAAACCTGCGAAAATATATCAAATGTTAATATATATTTGTGTATATGTGTTTGATTGAAATAAAATATTGTTTCCACCAAGCTGATCGGTTAGCTTTTGCATGTAACTTCAACAATATATAGCTTGAATTCGCTATATCTTCCTTTCATTATCTGTTAACATAAATATTGACAAATTCTTATATAAAAACATTCTATCTATCGCCTACATCTTTTACCATCTAATCAATCACTAATATTTTCAGCGTTTAACATAATAGTGTAGTGGTAGATTGTTCGCCCTTCAAGAGTGAAGACCCTATTTCGAATCATGGAAACGTCAAACGTCAATTCACACAATGTTATTTGAGAACATTTAGTTATACACACATTCGCATTCAACAGGTGAAGTATAAGACAACACAGTCATGATTAGGGTGATAAATGAGCAATGGAAGAAAAATATTTATATAAATATGAAACAAAAAATGAAATATAAAAATGAAATATAATTGTTAAAAATGTGGCGAATAGAATTCAGAGTTTCAAACATAATAAAATTCAATCTATTCAATGACAATTAAAATCAGATACATTCAATTTTGCTTAACCCTCATTAGTTTAACTTTAAATTATGCAAACATTATGAAGAGAAAATGAAAAATTACGTGACACTCTTAAGAAATATGCACAGTTGCAGATATGAACTCGAAAAACCATGTTCATAACCTGAGATCTTCATAATCAGAACTCTCTAACCACTGCGCTACTCAGATTTACGTGTCTATTTCCACATTTATTCTTCTATATTGCAATAAAAATGCAAAATGTAATAATTGAAGAACTGAACAACCCATTATATCATAATGGTCTGACCGAATAATGTAAACGTTATCGTGTTAGACTTATACTTCAAAAACTTATATAAACAATACATTACGATCAGCTAGAAATATTCGATGTATCGATTTCTAAATCAATAAATTACTGTAAGCAAAATATTTGTTGCTCCATGGTAAAAAGAATTATCTTCATATTACCCATAAAATAAATATCAAGTGTTTTATTCAATTGCGCCTAAGTTGTACACTAGGTGACTACACAATATCTGTTAACTACGTTTGTTTTAAAACTCCAATGCTACAAGAAATGAAAGATTTTTTACATACCAAGCCACAATTCTCCCTCAACGTTCCCAAAGCCATTTTCATATTCTGTAAAGTTGCGATAAAATTCCACCGACCCATCCATTCGCCTGTGAAATATCTACAAGGAAATTATGTTTAAACTTATTGCTTTAAACATCATACTTAGTTTGTATCTGTTTAACATCAGTTTAATACAGCTAAGGTAACAGGTCACTTCACAATGACCTTGATTTTTGTATTATTATAACTACTTTGAAATAAATGATTGTTTAAAATTTTTAAAATGCAAAATTGACTGTTTGTCAGTGTGTGCCTTTGTTGATCAGTGAAATCATGTTTTGATAATTTCACAGTGAAATGATAGAATATATTTTACCCAGGACCGGACTATATTTGAATGCGGATGAAAAGTATGTATCATAAATTAGTCGAAATATCCTCAGAAATATTCTCTGACGTAAGTGTTGTTATACGAGAAACAAACTCTATGTAATTTTACAGGGAAAATATGCCTGCAATAAGAATAAAATGTAATTTGATATTGACGTCTATTTGGCACCATTTCACTTGTTGTCGTACTGAACAAAAGAAAAGTACATCATGAGTTAAATGAATGTTAAAAATGGAAATGTTTTAAAATCAACCATTTCTCATGTGAGTATGTGAACCAGGAAAGAACAATATGCTTATCAAACATTGGAATAAAAGAATCTACATACCGTCCAACCACCGCCTTCGGTTTCCATGTCACAATTCACAGTCAGAATTTTCCCAGATGTCCAAAGTTCTATCTTATAGTTTCCACTTTTAGCCTCAGGAAACTTATCAAGGACTTCTTTACAGTCACTTGGTACTAAGCAAAGAGGGAAAAATGTATTTCTAACATGAGGGAATGATGCAAGAAACTGTTTTCACTAATAATTCCATAAATTGTGTAAATAAAAACGACAAAAGTAACGTGTATCTATTATTATATTTGTGTAATAATGTTTGTACATAGTTGATTAATATTTCAATAGAAAAGATTATTTATGATGTAGCATGATATGACGAAACTCCCAAATTCTTGCTTAAAAGAAATGAAAGAGTTTTTCAATATTTTCTTAAAGTGAATAAAGAGAACCGCCAGATAAATTGTCTTCAAAGTTTTTATTTCATTTCGAAACAATAAAACATTGTTTTATATAAAATATAATTTTAGTAAATATATGCTTAAATGGGCAAAAAGGAAAGAAACTTATCATCTTATAATGCTATTTTTATGATATCTATAATATGTTAAATAATGATTTGCCGTTTCAAAGATACTGTTTTCTAAAGCAATTATATTGCCATTTTATTTGTCTGTTTTGAAATATTATCAATTTCCGAAAAATATTATCAGTAGCTTGATCGATAAACAAGAATGTACATACATTGATTAAAAGGTAAATGTTGCCAGTAAGACAACTTTAATTTTGCCCTCATGGCTAATTTGGATTAAGTGTTAAGACAAGAAAAAAACCAGCAATATTTAAATACGTTACATTTACACGTTGCAAGCTGCCATTTTCCTGAAGCCTCACATTTCACCTTTTGTTGACTAGGAAAATATCCTTTGTCACATTTTACTAGAGCTAAGTCAAGGAACTTGTTTTCGCCAGGCGCACTAATCTGTACTTTTCCGTTTTCAATTCTTTGATCAAGAGCACAAGCTTGAAAGTATAATAATAATAATAATAATAATAATAATAATAATAATAATAATAATAATAATAATAATAATAATAATAATAATAATAATAATAATTAAAAGGTACTATTTAAGCAATAATTTATTCTTTACAAAGGCCAATTTCTATAATCTATAACAAAAAGAGAAAACATCAATTGAAAATTATACAACATTTAATTTCTTTAAGAAACTATACTATATAATTTTGGACGTACTTAAGTCTTTGCAAACATGTGAAGCACCTTTTTGAAAACACCTTTGGTTCGCTTTACATGGCCTTGAGCTACAACTTCCAACCATAGCCTGTATGAGGAAAAATCGAAGTAAATATTTACATCCTTATCAATTGTTTTGCTTAACAGAATAATTTCCCCTGCGTATCTGCTAAAAGAGACATACTTCTGTAAGATATTTTTTATGCAATTAGGATAAGCCAGAGATGATCCCTAAAAATCAACATTTTTCACAGTAAATTATTGCACATGCAACAAATATGAAAAAAATTACAATTTTGCGTGTTGGGCTTTCTTTAGGGATTCTGTATTTATCTATTTTGGATACATTTTACAAATAATTTGTTTTCTCCAAGGTATACAAAGAATTTATCGTTCCCGTTTTGAAAAGTTGTACATATTATAACAATTAATAAATTGAGAAACTTACGCTAGGCCATTCGCTGATATCAGAGAAAATAGAGCCTCCTTTTGTTTCAAACTCCGATACATCAACAGACGACTGGTCAACATCGTTTAATTTACACACGTGTTCGTTTCTGTCAAAGTCAATAGATTTGCAAACAGACATGGACATACATGTTCGCGCACAATCGTTTATGGTTTAATCATTAACTTCTAAGCACGGAATGACCGACCAAGGCTTTATTAAGATTGTTCTTGCTTATTTCAAAAAGCATTGCATTTACTTGAATAAACTTTTCGAATAAAACAGCGTTAATAATGAACAATTCCGGCAGTCACAGTCATTGTACTAACTGGAAACAACATTGTTACTAGCCAAAATATACAGAAAACAGCAATCGTTCCTAAGACACAGAAAGTCCGTCTGTTTGTTATGTTAAATGTACGCCATATGAACGAGTAAAAAGCTATTTAACAACAGAAGTATAAAATATGCCCTTGTTATTGATCTTTGTTGAATCATCCAATTAGAAAACAGTCATTGTTTATTATTCAGCAATGCAAACAACCAAGTATTTTGATTGGTTTACATACACCAGAACTTTCGCAACACATCTAACTCAGTCTTGTTGTTGTAAACACAAAGAGTAGATACGAAGTAAAATGACACATATAATGTTATGACAACTGTTCATTATTTTCAAAACAACATTGACTTACCAGTACCTTCCATTCTAAATATTATGGTGACAAAACGGAGTCTGACCCCATGAGATAAAGACCCCGATAGGCTGTATGTTGATTAAAGTTAATTTGCCTATATTCGAAGGTCTGCAACTCTACAAATAAGTATGTTGAAAGTATGTGCTATCATACAAGACAACAGCATGAAAGAAAAAGATATCCAGCTAGCTTACGGAGCGTAGGTGGTTCTATTCAGGTGCCCGTTCGTGCCTGACATAATTTACGGAAGGGCACCAGAGGTCTTCCTCTACCAGTAAAGCTGGAACGTCTCGATATGACATAAACTGTGTCGATGTGACGTAAAATCCCCCCCAAAAAAACAAAAAAACACCATGCACGAAATGTATATTAAAGTCATTCGTAAGTATGAGATACATGCATAATCTGATATAACATATTTACATATAGACGATATAAATTTGTACTTAATTCACCATATAAATAGTCACAGTAAATTTAAATATAACTTTTTTTTGTCAAGAAACGGTTCATAATAAAATCCTAATTGTTTTTTATCAGTGTTTAAAAAAAATGTGCCGTTTGTAAATCAGTCCAATCTACCGAGATTTCAATTACGATTGTTAATAATATGAAACAGACGACAATTGTCCTAAATTGCGCAAGAGAGTGTTTGTTTTCTTTGGAAATAAGATTTTGTTTTAATTCAATGGCCGCATTGTTTGTTAAGATGCTTTTATTTCATTCGATATGCAATGACACGTACGACAAAACAAAACTAAAACTATCATTTACGATGATTCATACTCCCACCCCTATTTGAAAAAGTGTTCCGAAGCCTAATTTGAACCTGACCTATTTTCTATGATGTCTCGTCTGTGTACCTTTAATAATTACAATTAAGTGACTTGTTTAAAAGAATATGATAATCTTTTTACCATTATTTTCATTTAAAAAAAGGAAAAGGGAAATAACTTAATGAAAAGAAATAATATTCCGAAGACCATTTTAATAAGAAAGGATTTAAATTTTGTTATACTATCTATGGGAGGTAACACACACAAAACACACTTGTACAGTGATATGGCATTGATAATCAAATTAAAAACTCTACTGGTTCCTGAGAACGGACAGGGCATATGAGTTATAAAATTATAGTTACATCAAAATGGAATTTTCCATTCAAGGACAATTCATCTATAAATAACAAAGATAAACCACTTTGTAACAAAAGATAGATATCTAACTTTTGAAGCCAATTTAAATAAAAAGGGACATGATTATATCAAACCCTCTAACAGAGTTATCAAACTTAAAATACATAGTTGCATTTTTATATTGCACTGATATTTCAATTTGAAGTTGATGTATCTGCACCAGGTCCTGAGATAGGATCGGGCATATAATAATGAAATAATAGCAAAAAAAAAAAAAAATCAATAACTTGACCTTGAAAGTCAAGGCCGCTTTTGACTCAACATCAATGAAAGTTATATACTTGGCTATCAATCTTCAAGGGTTGTTGTGTAAAAGTATGATGACAATTTATTCTCAAGTAAGATATAAAGACCCCTTGACATCTCACCCCCTTAGGCTATTAAGATGATACTAGACCCCTTGACTATTAGACCCATTTTCACATGACTTTTCGACCCCTAGTTGGGTAGACACGTCGACCCCTAAATCAATGTTGTACTTTAGATTGTCATTTTGATTCTTTGAGGAATAACTTAAAGCAAATAGTTAATGTTTAATTATTTTCATTACAATATCCGACAAAATATTTTAAAGGTAAAGCAAAATACTTACGTTATTTTCAATTTATGTAATGTTGTGTTACAAAGCAGTTATAAACTTTTCATGTGTGTGTGTTTTTTAAGCTTCGAAACTATTGATTCCAGGTTCCAGACATAAAGTGCAGTATTCATAACAATAATCATTTATATCAATAATTCCTGATTTAAGCATTATCTGTTTATTCATATTTAAGATATTTATAAGTTTGTAGCGATTGAGTTTTTTCCCGCAAGGAACACATGTAATATCGGCCATGAATAATTACACATTTCTACTTCATTAATGTTATATATTGAATTGACTTGTCCTTAGTTCGGAGTGTTGCGATTTTTACATTGACATTATGAAAAAAAAAAAAAAAAAAAAGAAACCAAATACCAATCGATCAATAATGGGCGGTAATTTGAAAACAAATCTTAGTTTATACTTACCTCTAAACGTGTTTCGGGAAGATCATGTATATTTTACCACTTCAGTGTATATAATGATAATTTTGTAGAATTGTAGTTATATTAACTGAAAAATTGTTACATCTATTTCTTATATGGTATTTTTGACAATTAAATTCTCCAACATCTCTATGTACACTATAGAATAATAGGTCCAAATGTGCAGTCAATTAAAGGGGTTTAAGTGTCTTGGGTCTATGTGTCTTAGGGGTTGGTTGTCTAGGGGTTGACAAGTCAAGGGACAGAGATGTCGTAGTGTCATTCATTCATTCCGAAAATAAAGTCTGATTTTCATATAGGTCTTGTTCAAAAGGATGGATGCTTAGTCAACTTTTAGAGTTAAGACACTCCATTCATAAATAACAAAATAAATAACAAATTAATTAAACAGTCACAGCAACAAAAAATAGAAAACATTTAACAATTTGACCATAAAGCTCAAGGTCATTTATGACTCAATGTCAAGGTCAGTCTAATCAAACTTGAAGAAATATTGTGTTCGAGAATGAAGACAATTCATTAAACAGAATAAAGCAATAGCCACCTTGATATATTTGCCGATATCTTTCAAGCTAAAAAATGACTGGCATTCAGATGTGAGCATCAACCACCCACAAAAATAAACAAATGCACTCAATTTCATTTGGATACTTAACAATGCTTTAAAACAATTTAGCAACAATTATTTAAAAATCCTGTATGTTGTAAACAAGGTTTTTACCACACTTTTTTATATAAGTAAATAATTATGCTTCTAAAACAATTTTCAAACATCGAATAATATGTTAAATATGTACTCCAAAGTTGTATACATTATATGTAATAATTAAAATATATGCATTTATTTCTGATGAAAACATTTGACTTGGACTTTATAGAAAATAAATTTCTAGTTACCTCCTTTATTAACATGAAATGTAAATTCGGTTATATCCTTTTATAAATAATGATTTTTGGAACTAACAATTATTAATAAATCTTAATTTGAGCATCATAATTATGATATAAAACCATAAAAATATTGCGTAACCAGGGCTGGGAATCAAAACTGCGTCGTATCCTACAAAATGTAAACAAATGCCGCCATCTTGGAACGAAAAACGTATGTTTTTGTTTATAACTTTTATTGTTGGAAATTACTGAAAACAAGATATATGTATTAACACGCTACACTATTGTCCGCTTCGTTCGGTATATGTTACTTACACAACTATTTTGTAAAACAAAAGTTATAGCGAAATTGCAAATCGAAGCGGGGCATAATTTTTATGAAAATGTGTGGATACGACGCAGTTCATATTGCTTTATCCATCGTTTTTTCCTTCAAATCAATTATATAGTCGTTTTCAGAGTTCACCATAAACTTCAAAACATAATTTTGCATCATTTACTAAACTTTCATTTAAAAGAGATGTTTATTTTCCAAGAAAATAATTATTTTTACGAAATGATACGACGCAGTTGAAAATAAAATATGATACGACGCAGTTGTATTTTCATTGCAGGCTGAATATTGGTTAAACTATTTTAATTATGTGCTAGGTAATAACGTCCAACAACATTTCTTGTTTACAACTTAAGTCAAAAGCAGAGGTCATTAAAATGGAAATGTAATACAATTCTATTAAGGCTGCATTTTTCGATCGCATTTTAGTACTAATCATAAGCATCTACAAATTCCGATAAGCTGTATCAAATGCAATATACATCGATAACATCTTTATCGTAAATGCGTTGCTAAATTTAATGATTGTGTGGAAGGTGACATGGGTAACTACTTTTGTGATTTATTTAGCTGAAGGCCGTCTTAAATCAGTTTGACGTCCTATAGTATTCACAGGAAAGATATGTTTAAAAAAAACAAAAAAAAAAAAAAAAAACAAAAAAATAAACAAATGTTATTGGTCATTTTAAAATTACAAACTGAAATATGAATGTCATTGGTCATTCTTATATACAATATAAAGGATAGTAATCCTAAAATAAAACATTTTTACTTCCGATAGTATTCACAAAAAAAAAACAAAAAAAAAAAACAAAAAAAAAAACAAATGTTATTGGTCATTTTAAAATTACAACTGAAATATGAATGTCATTGGTCATTCTTATATAAAATATAAAGGATAGTTATGCCATCCTAAAATAAAAGTTTAAAGATAGCTTTAAAATTATATGTATAGGATAGGTCTTTAACTATCCAGAATATTGTTAAGTTATTTAAGCTCTTTTTTACC